CGCTTTGCTGAAACGGAATTTCTGGTAGCGTTGATGAGCAAAGCCTTAAATGATGGCCGCGGAGCTGCGAGTCTCCCGTGTGTTAACGAACGACGGCCCTCTGTGCATTACATTGGAAGAAGTTAGGCATTGCGACGCCCGTCATGCTGACGAGGTCCCGTCGTGCGGTGTTGAGCTAAGACGTATATGACTTAATGGAATGAAAGTTCGTATTGTAATTTTAATCTTAGATGGTGTGTTTTTATGTAAAAAGTGTGTTTATGTAAAAGATAAGTCACTCTTCATGCTATAATCTACTGCGCCTTCGCCATCTGGGCTTCCAGGGTCAATCTGACTACTACAGTCGGCTTAGCTAACAACACTCGGAGGGTGGTATTAAGGGGTTAAAACACACAACCTCAATGTAGAAACGCTGCAGCACCTTCTCCACCTCTTCTGGCAGTGGCATAATGCGATGGAGCACAGCGCGAGATTTCTGAAAGAGATTCCTGCAAGAAGCAAAAACATTATTCATACGAGTGTGCATGCCCAGCACGAAAATCCCCACATGCTGCAGGAACAGAAATTCCACGGTAAAGCGCGCCATGCTACGTGTCGATATCGGAAGCAGCAGTGCCAACATGAGGCAGCAAATCGCTGCTCCGGTTTTCAGCAGCAAAACAGTTTTCCACGTCGAACTTTTGAACGACTGGAACGCGAGCAAGCGCTATCCGCGACCCTCGTCAACGAGTCAAAGAGAAGACGCAGTCCGAACCAAAGCGAGTAGCTCGAGCACTGCAGCAGCAACAAGCCCACCAGATGGTCCCCCTTTTCGACGGCTGCTCAGAGGCAACATGAGGAACGTGCGCATCTCCCTCCCTTTTCGCAGTCTACTCCGCATCATCCCCCTCCCCTTTCAAACAAATACACTCGCGCACCACTGTAGCTGGTGCGATTTTGCGCACTTCTGTCAAGCAACAGGCGTTTGCTGTTCGAAACGTTCACTGCCTCACAGTTTGGTGCATGCAAAAATAATCGAGATGTTGTCCGCCCCCCCCCCCC